TTGCATGAAGTCCTGCAGCCATACCCGGGCATTTTCAAGTTCCTTATCACTAAACTCACTCTGGTGATTGCATCGTTCAAATATGTTTCGCTCGCATTCATCTATTAATTAGTTTATTAATAAAATTATAAAATAATTTGGTTTTTATAAATATATATTTTTGTAATTTAAGATAATTTTTTACCTGAATATTGAGTTGAAATTAATGCAATTTGTAAAATTATTAACAAAAGTATAATAAAGCAATTGAGCAAAAACATTATTTTGTAAAATTGTCATTAATTTATTGATTATTATTTTTTTGTTTAAAAATATAAAGTATGATATCCCCAAAAATGGAAACAAATATGTTGTTAATAATAAGATTCGCACCGTTATTGTAGTCTCAACTGTTAAAATCACGGCATTAGTGTTGTTATATGCAAATATAAAATTAATGACATGTTGTTAATACACAAGCATTTTTATTTAATTCATTAATCATTTTGGTGTATTAAATTCTGCATGGTATTTAACAGAAAATTTATTATACAAACAATTATTGTTTGTATCATACAGTATTACTAAACATTATAATCTAGATTAATTTTATTTAAAAATATTTATAACGTAAAAATCAAGATAACTTTTAAAGAAACATAAGGTAAAGCAATAGTTCAATGAACTATTTAATAAAGTTGGCAACTATTTATATAATATGTTTTAAATTATCTAGCATAATTATTTTTACAAAATAAAGTTTACTAATGTCTAATTTTATATTTATATTTTTATTTATAGTAAAATTTTATGTGATTAATGGTATATTTAAATAAAATAAATATTTAAATTTATAGCAAATGAGTGCTTTTGTATATGAATATTTAGAATTTTAATTTATTTTAAATAAACAGTTATTTTAATTATATGTATACTTAATTAATTTATTTTAAATAAACAGTTATTTTAATTATATGTATACTTAATAATAGGACAGACGGCCAACCAATGCGCTCAAAATATTCATACGGGATGTACGGCCCCATACTTGCCGACACCGGCAGAGGTGGACAGAGCGCGCACTTACATCCAGAACAAGTTCATGACAGAGTCGGCCATAAAGCCAACACTACCCGCCTGTCCAAAGCTATATGTGCGGCGAAACTTCAAGTGTATGACCCATAGCGAGCGGATGCGACTGATTAATGTCCTGCAAATATTGTACGCCAATGGGTTTATGTGGGACCTTGCTCAGATACACGCCAAGTGCTGGACTATATGGCATAAGTCGGTAGAGGGTCCCACTGCTCACCGATGGCTTATGAATAAATTGGAGCTCGAAATGTTGAAAATAGACCCTGGTGTTACACTTCCGTATTGGGTAATGCTTTTCAATTTTAATGATAATATATTTTAATTAGACATTTATTTCTAGATTGTGTCCGAAGATTGTGTTAATCCTCAGGAGTCCCTAATTTGGAGATACTTCGGCACGAGTGGCACGAATGCTACCAATTATTGTATACCCGACGGCCCGTTCACCGCCCAGACCACTAACCGCTGCATTAAGCGTCAGTGGCCTACGGATGGGGTCATAAAGCCGTGGACGTGCCCTGAGTTGGAACAGTTTTACCTAAATCTGGGCACAAATCTCATTATTGTCTTCTTCTTCACATTGGGTCAGCACTTCCACCAACACTTAAATATGGGCGGTTGGCACGGGCACTATAGTGAGGCATATGCACCATATGAGTATGTGTTAGAGTGAGTGAGTGGGAGAGAGAGAGAGAGAGAGAGAGAATTTTTGTATAATAATTACTAAATTAATATTTAACATTTATGATTCAGTTTTGTGTTTCATTTACATCACGGCTATTATTCGGACTGTTTTCTGGCCAAATGGCAACTGTCGAAACCGGCATACCTGACCCCCATGTCCTACAACACCGCCTGGAAGTTTGACCCAGCCACTCGACAAATGTCCCAGGCCAATCTCACCACAGATACTATGTGTCACTACAACACACCCGTAGTGGACACGTGGCACTTGGGTTTCGGGGAAATGTGTTTCGTGTGCGATCAGGTTGTGCTGGCTATCAATCAGATGCTAAACAACCAAACCGTAAGCAACGGAGCGCTACATAAGAGTCTGTCGAAGAAAATTCGTCTCAAAAGCAGCAAAACTATGAATCCATTGAACACTGTGTTCACTGAACGGGCTATAGATGCGAGTGAATGCAACCCCCAGTGTAATCCCATGCCATACCCGCCCTCTTACTTATCGGACGCTAATAATCGCCGACAGCTCGAAAAGATGGCTAATAATTGGGGTTTGAATTTGGGGGCACCCATGCAGTTGTCCGATGTTATTATCAATGTGTTGATTACCTTGTTTAATAAATCGGGATTTTGCTCAGCATATGCCACCGCTCCCACTAATACTACGGGAGTTATGGGTGCTTTGAATGCTATGATGGGCAATGAGCCCATGGGGGCTACAGGTGCCGCACAGGACAAAAAGACACACAAAAAGCGTAAGAAATCAAACAAAAGAAATAAGAAAAAAAGTTATAAAGAGATAATCGATGGTTTAATGAAAGAATATTCCGTTTATTTTAAGAGTTTAGTTAAAAGTTTGTAACTTTTTTTATTACGATAATTAAATAAAAATATGTTTTACATCTGATTAGATTGTAATTCGTTTTTGTGATAAATATATTTAGAAATATGTTGAGCTTATTTACAATTTAATACATTCGTTTCATGATTAAAAATGTTAAAAACGATAAAAATGATATGAAAAGTAAAAACAATTCAATGATAATAAATACTGACGGATAGTATTCAATGTATTTTCCTAAAATCAATGGTGGGATGAAATTGATTGAACCGCACGTTATAAACACAATTGTAGCGATTCTGTCGGTTATGTCCACATGTTTGCCAAAAAAGCCTATTATCGCGGGAAACAGTACGGACACTGAGTACCCGATACAGGCGCTCACCAACCATAGCATATGCACAGAGTTTTGGGCAAATGTTAGACAAGATATGGTTATGAAAGACAATAAGAAATTAAATGCAATCATGTGCTCGCTTTTGAATATAAAGGCCACAACAAAGTTGATGACCTGTCCTATGGTATAGGCGGCCGACATAACAGATACTACACCAGCAGCTGCCTGTGCGCTCAGTCGGATGGGTATGTATTGGAAATATGTGGACCCGAAGTTGAAGTACACTAATTCAAGTGCATTGATTGTGGACAAACATATCGATAGTAATATGACTGTTAATGTCTTGTTCACTTTGACTACCGGTGCGCTCGCGTTATTAGTTAATGGTCTGTATTGATGACTAACTTTATACCGATTGAATGCAAACATTAATAGCATGAGTATTGGGACTGAAATAAAATGACAAAATATTAGTTTTTAGTGAAATATTTGAGATATAATGCTTACAAACTATTTGTATGCCTCCGCCCACCATAAAAGGCACCTCCAGTTTAGAGCGCCTTTCATTTACATCTATTATGTCTGTCGTATTATTAATTATATTTAACAATTTTGTTGAATTGGTTCCCTGTTTGGGTCCACCGGTCAGGTATGGTCTGTCCAATAGTGGGCCCAAAACAGCTCCCGTGCCGTACATTAGTTGCGATAGGAAGAGGACATGTCCGGCCTTTTGCTGCCAAATCTCTATAAGCCATACATTATAGGCTGCAATCCAGGCCCCGGTACCCGTGCCAAAGATGAGGGCACAGGTATATAATTGCCAAACACTGGTTGTAAATGGTATTAATGTACTCGAGATTGCCATCAATGATAATAGAAATGCTATTATCAGTTGTCTGTTCAGGTATTTATACAACACTCCTACTAAAAGTGATTAAATATTTTTGTTAATTATTATAAAGTTAATTAAAAATGTTTTCATACAAAGTGTTCCCAATATGTTTCCGACGGCTAATAAAGTTGGTATAAATGATATGTTTTGTATGGATGTGTTCAGTATAAACGTCAGGTCAACAAACGAGGGCCCAAACATCGAGACACTTAATGCCTTGATCATTTTAGGTAGTTAAAATTAATTTAATGAATGCATAGATATTAATTTTCAATAATTTTGGTAACAAAGAATTTTAATTTTTGGAATATTTTATCAGGGTAGTATTTAAGAATTGTAAATAGGGAAATATTTTAACATACTTATAAATAAAGTTAAACAGTAGTTAAATACTTACAAATGTCATATGAATTAAAAGTAAAATTATTGTATAAATATAATGTGTAAAATTGACTTGATACATTATTGCACTTTTACGATACACAATTTTATACAAATCACACATTCACTTAAATTAAGTTCGTAAAAATTGAATGCTATTATTATTTACAATTAGATACTAGTGATTCAAAACGAATAATCAATGATCTCTATGATAAGTCATTAATACAATTATAGTGAAATTGTCTAAAACGTGTGTTTTATTATGAGATCATTCAATAAATAAATACATCGAAAACACATGTGTTTAACTAAATTCCAGATTTTATTTGTATGTGACATGTCATTGTATTAAACAATTGATAAAATACTACATTTGCACTATTATTATGCAAATACGGATTTATTAAAACTATTTGATAGCATTTTTAATGATAAAAGTATAATTGAACTTGATATGATATTAATGGCGACTTTAACTACTGTATATTATAGCGATATTGAGTATAGCACTTAACTTTGATTTAACAACAATCATAACAAAGTATAATTATTTGTTTGCCGTAACTATGAAAACCTAAATTAACAATAACTAGTTTTATTGACCTTGTTTTGAAAGAGCGCAGGAAAATATTTGTGAAAATGTCCTATTTGAATAATATTCCCAGTTTTATCTTATTCACAATAACTAATTCAAACATAATTTTTAAAAGGATTAATAAACAGGAAAAATACTCAACTATATAAAAAACTCTGGAATATTTATATGTAAACAAATTAATGTAATTTATTGAATTGATTATCAAGTAAAGTCCTGATGAGTACACTATCTCAAAATAACAACAATGTGTTTAATTATGAAAATAATTAGTCTATTCATTTAATACTATTTCCAATTTTTATAGATAAATGAAATAACCTAGTTTATTGGGATTATTGGGAACATTAACTTATAATTGAATTTGTACGCTGATCAATGATCACCGATTTGAATACTTTTTAATCTTTTATATTCAAATCAAATCAAACTTTTTGGAATCACAAACAACTTATTCTGTACTACATATACAGTAAGTATACAGAATCTGTAGCCACAAAGTTTGAAAATATGACCTCGCTTATTACAGTACACGTGCTTAAAATATAAATTCCAATACTAATATTCACATGTTAAAGAATATTTTGAGCTTAAAATAAATAAATGATAAAAATTAAATAAAAAATTACAAAATAAATTCCAAAGTTTTGTCAATAATTTATTAACTAATTATTGTTTATTAGATTAAATGCTATCAAGTGATTTTTCAATCACATTGACAATTATTTATATTTTCTATTTACTAAA